CTTTAAGTGGATGTGAATTAGTAATGAATCCAGAATAAAAAAAAAAGATTTTCTAGTGGAGAATTTAGTAGTTTTTGTAAAGACAGCATTCAAAAAAAAAAAAATGATGCTTTAAGCAGGTTAAAATAGGTAGCTGCTGCATTTCAGTTGACAGTAACCTATTACACTAATCCACATGTATCCCAGTGCAACTTACTTTAGTGCTTTGTAGGTGATTTCATTAACATCCATATCAAAGAGCTCCTTTGCAGCATACTTAAAGATGTGCTCTAGGTAACCATCAGATCTCTTCCCATCATGTCTTACTATATCCACTTCTTTTATGTCACCAAACCTTAGAAGACAAGGAAAGGAGAAAAAAAGTCAACTTAGTTTGATTACTGCACTTCAGGAAATAAAAAGATTACCCTTTAGCTATCACCAGGTTGACACCTACTGTCAAGAAAAAGTGTAGAAAGAGGTAATAACTTCCTGTGCTCTCATGTCTGCTGAAAGAGCAGCTGTACCATCTACCCTGAACTCATCCTGGTCATCTCAGCACAACCTCTTTAAGACACTGACTGCCTTTAGAAATATGGTTCCCCCTTGCCTTAGCAGCAAGCTGAGCCATAGCATTCAGGCACAAACTGTTAATGCCATTATTTTTCAAACATCTAAAATTAAACCCAAGGAACAAGACAGGCATATGGTATGCCCACCCCACCTTTATGCCAGATTAATAACATTAGGTTTATTTACTTTGTGACTTTTCTTTTGTCATTACTAGATGTCTGTTTGGCAACAGCGTGCCCTGGACTTGTCTAACTACAATCCATGTTGCCATTCTCCAGTTAATTTATGGAATTTGCATTAGTAGTTTAGGATAAAAAAGCAACATAATCTAACAAGTAACTATTATATTACAATTTGAATTGTATCATAGGAGTTTATTATTACTATTTAAAAAGGAGTTTACACTTCAGGTTTCTGTTAAAAGTGAAATGCCACTAGGGAGTCTCCTCTTACATCAGTCCTGTTCCTTTGCTTTAGATGGCGGGGGGGGAAAAAAAAAACAAAAAAAAACAAAAAAAACGTAGGAAGTAGTAAGATTAGCAACTTTAAATCTTGTTTGACAAACTATCACATGTTCATTCCACTTACAAGAAAAAGTGCTACCTTTTTGAAGAAGGTCTTATCTTCAATTAACACCTATTTAAATCAAACAAGAACGTGACCACCTCTCTAAGGCTACATCTTCAGAAAGCTGGCTCCTTTAAGTAACAACCAATGCAGGTCCTTTTGCAGAAGTAATGGCAGAAGCCATAGTATGCACAGGACCAAGGCATTCTTACCACAGTGTCATTTAAAATCCCCAGTGTAGACAAGATATAGGTGGGATACAATTTGAGAGTAGAAGAAATTTGGGGGAGCTTCCCAATTTATTGCAGGAGAGTTTGTTTACTGGGTGGCTCTAGAAAGAAACTCACTATTATGTTCTACACAGGCTAGGACAGAGTAACCTTTGAGACTCTACCTTTGTAACCAAGACACCTAGGAGTTAAGTCACCGTGCACAATTATTTTTGCACAAATCATGTGGTAAGTTAGCAAAGCACTAAAATGCCATGTCTTCTCTGTTGCACCTTAACTCAAAATATTTATTTATTATCTCTACATGAAACAGTTGTTTTGCTCAGAAAAAAATACTACTTCCCAAAAAAGGTGCTATTTACTTATTCATTCTGAAAGCAATACAAAAGTAGAAATTTATCATCAAGAAACTGGATTTGAATGAGAATGGAGGATGGAACAGGTGGTAAATACCACCAATATTGTACCAGCACAGCCTGGTGGGGGAAGTTAGGCACTGGAAGGAAAATGAGACCAAGTGGGAATTAATGGTCCACTTTTAAATACACGTTCAACTTCAACTATGCTATAGCTTTAAGGTATGCAATTGTGAGAATACTCACCTCCCAGAATACCCAGTGCACCAGTTGCACTGAACTGATGTAGTGCATTAAAAGTCAACAGCTGTACCCCTTTACTACTACATAAAGTGACATGCACCCACCCACCCTTCTTGGATTCTTAAAAAAAAAACCCAAAAAATTTCCAGAGATGAAATGCAGCAAACATGCAATCCTGGCACAACACATTTCTTTCTGTTAAATTAGGCTTAAAAAAAATTAAGCAGCAATTAATTTAGGAGGGGGCTGCTGTTTTAAGAAATCTGTTTTGGATTAGCTGATCTGCTGCACTGTAATTTTTTTTTTGATAATGTGACAATATGGGAAGTGTTCATTTCTTTGGTCACAAGACAGGGCAGAGGGTTTCAGTGCATTTAGATTTTTGTATATACAAGCTTCTTTTGAAGAAAAAAACCTTGTTCTTTTTAAAAAGTTTACAAAGAGTTTGGTGTATGGTAAAAAAGAGTCATCTGATCACCAGAACACTGACAACAAATTACAGCAAAAATCTACTTACAAACTGTCTACAGCTACTTCAGTCACATCTGTCATAGATATATTTTTCTGCTCCATTATTTGGACAATTTCACCTGAAAGGAAATAGGCAACACTTCACCTTCAAACAGGACACATGCAAGCAGTTGGTAGGCATTTAGAGAAAACACAAGATGCCTGGCGTTAAAACCCTAGAGGAGTCTTGCAAATTCTGCTCATCTGTGCACCAAAATATCCATACATTATATAAAAAAAATGCTGCATATTCTGAATACATAGCCTAACCAACTTGGTGTTCTGACATTTGAGTGACACCCATTCCACGAGTACAGCCTCTGCAGGGAGAATGTAATCCATGTTTTAAAAGCTCCTTAAAAAGGATACAAAAGATAGATTTTCTAATCATAAGATTTTCATGACTTGCAATCTTTAGAAGGTGCTAAGATATTGGACTTGAACCAAATTCTCCCTCTCTCAATGGAGCATGAAATCTCTCCTTCCCAGTGAATGGAAAGCTGTCTCTTCCAGCCCCAAAGAACTGTCAACCTATCCTGTGCTCAGTACCAAATACTGACACTTTGATCTTCGAGATACGGTAGCATTTGGGAAAAATTTCCACACTTCAAGGAAAAGGACAGTCAAAAGACAAAAAAAAAGTCTCCCAAAGGTTGCCTGGAATGTCAGTAACCATCTCAGGGAAGATATATTAAATAGTTTGTTGAGCTGAGTGTAGGAGAGAAGGGCAAAAAGCACATGGTATATGCCTGTCTGCAGCTTTCAACGATGTAAAGGATCTCACTGCAGTGTAATTTTAGCTACTTTGGTTCTGTCTGGATGAAGTAATGGGAGAACAATTTTGCTCTTTTACCTAATCCAATCTGTATTAAATGCATAAGCACCAAGTGAACAAGAAAAGGTTCTCGTCTGAAAACAAAAAGTACAACCTTATTCTTACAGTTATTACAAGCTAAGTGAACAAAAGAGAGGGCCTAGCATGACGTGAGTTTAAATAATTGATGGTCCATGTGCAATTTTATAAAGGAACAAGTTGAAGAGATGTTTAACCTGATGTTAGCACACAATCGACGTCTTGAGAATTATACAAGGCAGTGTAAAAATCTTCCCGCAAGGCTTCCAGTTTTTTGTCATAGCAAGGTGCCACAATTATATGGAAAATTTTATCTGGAGACAGATTCTGTGGAAAGGAAAAGGGCACATTTAAATTCCTTCCAAAAGGCCAATAATGCAGGGAGATAAAATATGGAAGAAAGTACAGCCACAGAAAAAGTGGGGTTAATACTGGATCTGAAACTAAATTACAAGTCACAACATCTGGGGCAAGCTTTGCTTTTTTGTACTGACAAATCAACTGCATTACAGCAGCAACCAAACAGTGTCATAACAACTTAGTGCAAGTTCTAATCAACTAAAAAGATATGAAGTAAGAAACAACTACACAAAGGAAATTTAATTATCTAGACACTGCACATTTTGCAAGACTCCAGTTTTGAGATGCAACAGTCATTTATTTCAGGAGCCTGTAAACATTGTCTAACAGGTGGGAGACCTTGATCACTTGCCAGGACAACTGCCACTAGCAATAATAGCAGCATACATATTGATACCATGTTTTATAGTAACCAAGAGATCCAGCTGCCCGATGTCATGGACAGACATGCATTACTCCCATACAATCAGATGGGGAACTGAAGCAAAGAGCGCAAATGACTTGTAGAAAAACCATACCTCAAACTGGCAACAGAAACATGAACTCAGAATATTCCAACTCCAAAATGTGTACTTATTCCTCTGGATCATGTTTTCTGTGCACTTATCTTTAACCCTCCAAGTTATATTTCCAGCGCTATCACTAATTTATTGTCAGCCCTGGCAAGATCAGCCTTTCCATACTTTAGCAATGCTGTTGAAGTCTCGTTGCCCTCATACAAGTGAGGGACACGAGACTTCAACAGCATTGCTAAAGTGCTCCAAGATCAAGTGGAAGATTCTATATATAGAGAGGCCCCAGCCCAACCAGAAATAATGGAACACTACATGACAGGACCTTCGATTTTTGCCTGATGGCCTCTACCATATATATAGTTCCAAGCATTGCCAATTCCATCTTTAAGTACTAGTTAGTACAAAGGCTTTACTTTGGCCCTGCTGGCTTTAGTTTTATATATAGATAACCATAACCGCCTCCATGTTTGCAGACGTCTGGTGGCAGAGTGGTTAGGGTGTTTTGCTATGGCACTTCAAGCCCTGCTCCACACTGTCCCCAGTTTACCTGGCTGCAAATGGATACAAGACCTTTCAACATGGGGAGCTAAAGCTGGCTTGATGCAGTGCTAGCCACATCACTCTTGTGTGTGCTGCTGGTTAGAGAAAATGGTGTTCTTTTAAAGCGCTAACACTATGGGTGTCTAGGCTCAATAGGATATTTGCCTTTAACCTTGATCTCTACATAGTATTAAGACCAGGACTTCAGTATAACCTCAATTCCAGATTTTTGGAATCTAGATTTATCAAAAATCCAGCATTCCCCACCCCCTCGGATGCAGAGGGGGAAGCTTGCACATGGTGGCTGCTGCTGCCATTCACCACCCCACACTGCTGCTCCATGTGTGGCCGTTGCACCAGCTTCAAAAATCTGGCATTTTCAAATTTCTGGCAAGTGCTCAGCCCCAACCATGCCAGATTTGTGAGGATGCACTGTAGTATGGAGGGTAAGAGACAGGAACTCTGCACATCTGTGAAGAGGCAGAGCATAAATTAGATAGTTTAGAAATATGCTTTGTGCTTTGATGTACAGGAGTCTGCAATTAAGTTTAAGACCAATACAAAAACAAAATTTCCTCAGGAGAAAAATAAGTGCAAAGGGCAAGCATAACTGGTTACCTGCTGCCTGGCAAAGTAACCCTTCACCAGGGAGCCCATGATCTGCTGTGGAGACTTTGCAGTGCAAATGTGTGGAGTCACTGGATTGGTAAGTACCCTTTCAGCATACCGGATCCAACCTAGAATTATGTGGGGGGGGGGGGGGGGGGGG